CCATTGCAGCACGATCCTTTGATGACGAAGTACTGCGTGCTGGGGTCGCCCGTCTCACCAGTGGCGAAGAGGTATGCCCAACTTGTTCGGGTCTGGAACAACTTTGTTGTCACTTTGTCGGAGGGCTCACCGAACGCTGATGACAGAGGAAGTGATACGATCAACTCACCGTCGGAAACAGAGCGGCTACTCCTCTGGGCCTGAGGGGCTCTGATGTCCATAGGTGTCTCATCGTACATGGTCGACTCGATGCACTGCACCAGCCGCAACCCTCTCGATTTGTGCTTGCTGGCCATGACCGCCACAGCTCGTCTCGCATAACGGTCCACGCACCATGCTAGAGCCGACAACCTCTGCACGTTGGATTTGTACGTCTTCGGGTTCAGGCCGCAGTCGGAGGCCTCACATTCCAAGCTTTTTGTTGAAAGAACTCCTTCGCCCAACAAGAACTTACGAGCATGTACTGGGGCATCTTGAGATCGAACACCAGGCGCCAGCACAATAGACAACGCCTCGTCAATCTTCAGCACAAGAGGATGTGATACACCAACCATCTTTGGACTGTGAATCAGACGGACGTCATGGCTGGAAATCTTGAGACCCTGGGGCAGCAACGCCAACTCCTCTGATCGCCTGGCCCTCTTATTCTCCCGAGCAGTGATGCGACCGCGCTCGAGAGCCTCGAGCCTGATTCGTCGACCCTCATCGCGGTAAGGTGCCCCAGGGTCGGCCATGACAGTGCAGGCTGGTCAGTGGGTGGTGGTGGGATCAGGTTTGGGCCGAAATGTTTTTTATGATGGAGAATGTGTTGTTTGCTTACTTCCCTCTGGCATGTTGTATGTTGGTATGCCCTTGTCTTTTTATGTTTGTTCCTCGTGTTGTTTTCTGGTGCTGTTGCGTTCTCATTGCATGTCCTGTGTGTCGGAATGTGCTATTACTCTGGTGTCCTTTTTTGTTGTTATCCCTTTTTTTCTCTTGCTACTATGTGTTGTGATTTATCCATAGATTCCCTCCTTTCTGCATCCATCCCGCCTCCTTTCCGTTCTCGCTTCAGTAATGTTATGTATCTCGCTTCGCCCTTTTTTCCATCCCTTCCTTGTATTAGTAAGGGCTACGTAAAACACTCGCGGCGGGCACGGAATATATACTCCCTCAGATGCACGATCGAAGACGAAGAGGGCTGATATCGGACATTCGGGGCGTGCACGTTGAATGGCACGCGAGCGCGTGGTAATGGACAACGCGCGCGCTCGGCCGATGCACATTCCGATCTATACGTTCAAACGTGGATGGCGTTGAGCATTGGAGTTGCGAAATGCTGCTGGGTTGGCGCCAGCAAAGGCGTCCGCGGACTCTGGTGGCGGCGAACCAATCACCACGGCAACACAGCACAACATATAAAATCATAAAGTGCGCTTTTCGCCCAAAGGCCAACCGATTTTCGACACTTTTTCCTAAGACCACAAAAACGACACCAAAAGCGATTTCGGACACTTTGGGGACACTTTGGGGCGATTTGCGGGGGGAACACAACCTAGCGGCTCGGCCGACTATGGCTCTAGTTTGCAAGCCAACAGGGCGACTTTGCTATGGTGGGAAGTACGCGCGTCTTCACGAGCTCTGGCATCCTGCGTGGAAGGGCGCGACTTGAGATAGGCGGGGGCCGCCGCGCGGTCGGCGGCATTGAGAGATCCCACGTGGACGCGTTCGGCCCGAGAGGCGCGAGGGAGCGTCGTCGCGCGCGCGGAGCCTCTGGCCTGTCTGGCGCGCGGGAGTCCGCCGCCGCTCCGTGCGCGGCGGCCGCACCCACCCCGCGCAGCAAAAACGCAGCGCGGGAGAGGCAACAATCGCCGCGCGCGCCGCGGCTGTGGCCAATCCAACGGGGAGGGGGGGGGGGGGGGCATGCGTTGCGAACGAGGCAGGAGCCACCGCGCGCGCGGCGGTTCTGGCCAGTGCCGCGCCGAAAGCGCAGCGCAGGAGGGACAAGTGGGCCGAGGCGCGTGGCGGCCCTGGCCCACCCCGCGCGGAGCGCGCGCACTGCCGGAGAGGCAGGGGGGGCCCTGCGCGCGCGCCGGCCCCGCCGCCCACCGCGCGCGGAGGAGGAGCAGCATGACGAGAGATGACGAGAGACGCGGGGAGGGGGCGGGTGGGAGAGACGTGCCGCGCCTCTGTTCTCCACGCAATGGCGCGGCCTGGCTCGCAGTGCGCGCTGCGGCGCCCCGGCCCGTGCGAAACGGGAGGACGCCTCGCTCGCGAGGGGTGCGCGGCCCCGCGAAGGGCGGCGACCCTGGCCGGCGCCGCGCGCAACATCTCGCGAACGCGACGCGGCTGGCGCGCGCGGCGGCCCTGGCCCGTTCTGCGTGGGGAGGACGCGGCGCGCGAGGGGCCGGGGCCGCTGCGCGCGCGGCGGTCCTGGCCCATGGCGCGTGGAAAGCATGCGCGCGGGCGCGGGAGAAAAACGCTGACGCGGGATCCAGCGTCGAAAACCGCGCGAGCGCGA